AGTTGTTGTTGGCTTTTTTTTTTTTTTTTTTCAGTTACATCTAAGATATATTTAGTGATTTTAATTCAAAACTTTGAAACAACAATAAAATGATTAAGTGAATGACACCAAAAAAAAAAAGAAAAAATATTGTAAAATATTTTTTCATGAAAATATATTGTGTAATATAAAATTTGGATCTACTATCTAAATTATTAAATTCTAATATTCTCGTCTCCTAACATTTACTACTATTGGCACCTGCAACATTAATCGCGTTGGATAGGGTACAAGTGCATCAATATTAAAACTTTAGTTTTAATCTTTGTAAAATCAATTTCCCTTCTTCCTAATTTCTCATGTTCAAAAATATATATATACTATTATCGTACACCATATAAAAGTGCAAATGAGTCCAAGAAATCAATTAAAAAATTACTCTATGTTGTTTAAAATATGTTTTAATAATTAAGAATTTCAATTTAAATTTTGAAATAAATAAAAAATAATTTAAAGAGAAAAAGAGTAATTTTTTTATTATATGACCTATAATAAGACAATAAAAATTCATGAAAAAACATACATATATTCATTAATAAGTTTCCCATTTTTTCATTAGCTAAAAAAAAAAAAAAGGGATAAACTGCAGTTCACCAAGACAACATTTCTGACAGAAAAAATAATTTCCCATTTTTGTTTTAGTTGGTGTACGCCTAATCGTCATAAAACGGCTAGTATTATAATTTTTTTTTTTTGGTATTATTCTTTAAAAAAAATTTTTTAAATTCATTGTCGTTAGCGTAACGTCTTTCCGAAGATTCACACGCCTCTCAATGGCCCACGCTCCACGACCCATTTTTTCCCGTCAACTCCAATGCAAATTTCACTCCCACAAATTCGCCTCCACGTGTTCCTCTCCCTGTTCTGGGCTAACTTACAAAACTACCCTCACCTACACACGTGACATTCGCAGCGCGCGAGTTTTACACACCTCACTGAAACCCCGCGAGTCGCACTCTCTCTAAAATTTTGACCCAAAAATAATAATAATAATAATAATTAAGCAAATAACTATTTTGCAGCCCAACACGCAGAACTACGACAGTTATGCTCACAAATCTCGCCTAATCAGCGCCTCCATTACTTTTCTCCTCCACTCTCGCCCGCCGGGTAACGGTCACTTCTTCTCCTTCTGGAAACTTCTGATTAAATCCGGAATTCACTCCGGCGGAATTGTCTCGCTGGTTCTGAGAGTGAGGTAGCTGGTTTTGATTATTGTGGATTTGAGAACAGAGGATTGAGGCTTGGGAAGTGAGCTTAAAGAATGAGATTGGAATTGAATTTGGAGTGTACGCGATGGTAGCTGCAGTGTCGGAGACGATAAACCCCAAAGCGCAGGGCCTGGCGGCGCAACCGAACTCTAAAAGGCCTCCTCTGTTGCCTTCCGACCCTGACAATGCTATCAATCCCCGCCGGCCGAAGTCTCGAGACGTTAGCTCTCGGTACTTGTCTACCTCGTCTTCTACCTCTTCTTCTTCGTCAATGTCTTCATCATCGTCTGTGAAACGCTGTCCTTCGCCCGTGGTTTCGAGGAACGGTCATTCGACGGCTATGGCGACCCCGATGCGTGCGGTTCCTTCTGCAATTAAACGGTCTCAGTCCACGGAACGGAGGCGGGCGGTAACTCCTCGCTCTAATTCTCTTGATTTGAGAACGGTTAGCAAGAGCAATGGTGAATTGACCGAGGCACAGAAGTTGCTCTTCACTTCGACGAGAAGTTTGTCGGTCTCGTTTCAGGGAGAGTCGTTTTCGATTAAAGTGAGCAAGGCGAAGCCGGCGCCGTCTCCAAGTGTTGCTAGAAAAGGCACGCCGGAGAGGCGAAAGCAGGCAACAACTACGCCTGGGAGAGATGGTGATCAGACGGAGAATTCGAAGGTGGAGAGGTGGCCGGGGAGCTTCCGAGGATCGAATTCGATGAATAAAAGTGTGGATTGCACCGACGATAGAAGGAAATTGGGTGGATCTGGCAGCAGCAATGTGGTTAGGGCATTACAGAACTCGATCGATACTCAGAATTCACTGGACTCGAGGTTGAGCTCAGCTTCAGTCAATGCTGATAAGCGGAAGGAAGAGGAGAGTGCTGTTCAGATTGTTGGATCCAATTCGCAGTGTGATCCTGTAGTTTCTGACACTGAGAGTGTGTCCTCTGGCAGTACTTCTGGAGCCCAAGAGGGTAACTGTAATGGTAATGGAGTGGGGAAGCCTGGAGGCCGGCTGATTACGGTTCCGGCAAGATTCTGGCAGGAGAGTAATAGCAGGTTCCTGCGCCATCCCGATCCAGGCTCACCTGTGTCTAAGAAAACTGTGGTTCCAGCTAAGCTTATTGCGCCGAAGAAGGTTGGACTTGAAAGTCCTCAGTCGTCTCTAAAAGGTGTTGTGAACAGTCGGGGGCAGATATCGCCTATTCGAGGGCCAGCCCGGCCTCCTTCGCCAAATAAGCTTGGGCCACCATTAAGTCCATCGCCATTGAGGGGACTGAGCCCGTCTAGGGTGAGAAATGGTGTGATGGGTGGGTTGAGTAGTAATGTGGAAAACACCACGTCCTTTTTAAGTTTTGCTGCAGATGTTAAGAGGGGGAAGGTTGGCGAGAATAGGATCTTTGATGCTCATCTGTTGAGGCTTTTCCATAACAGGCTGTTGCAGTGGCGTTTTATAAATGCCAAAGCTGATGCTGCTCTCTCTGCCCAGAGGTTGACTGCAGAGGTATGGCTTCTGAACTCTATCTCTATTTTTCTGAGAATTCTGACTTCGAATTTCTCAACCAAAACCGCAAAGCAATATATATTTGGCCTTCTTAATTTGATGATACATTGTTTAATTTAATTTTGATCCCTTGTCTTTGTTAATTTTTATAGAAATTATAATTAATTGTTCGTGGCTTCCTTCTATTCAAATTGTACAACCTTATGATATTATTGCTAAGATTTACTTGCATGATGGCAAGTGCAGGGTGCCGAATTTGGTTTTATGTTATGTTTTATATTGTCATGCTATTTACTATTAGTCTGTTACAATAGGCTTTAATTTTAGGCACCCTTGCAGTTATGAATTAGTTTGACTTGTGAGTGGTGATTGACTCTATTTAGGCCAAGTGATTAATAAGAAGCATTGTTCAATCTTGCAATTAACAAGTTAGAGCTATGGTTGCAGTGTGGGAGAAAAACTTTCAAGAAGGAAAACGATTTTCTTGGTCAGATTACAGGGTTTGTTAGATGGTTGTTTGATGTTCAGAGATTTTTTGAAATGTGGGTTGATTGCTTGTTCTTGTGGTAAATGGAAAATCTTGATAGAAGCTTTATAGCATAAACTTTCCTGATCAATAATTTTTGAATTTTTTCTAGTTTCTTTTATCAGCATTTTGTAGAGTTATGAGCTGTGGAATTCAGTTCAATTCCTTTTACCTACTGTAGTAGGAATCTGATATGCCGTGATTTAATGAACTGATTTTGCCGATCATATTTTGGGTTAACTACAATCTAGTTTTTTTCCTTCTTTTTTTATTTTTTTTATTTTTAATATTATTATTATCTTCAGACATCTGAATCTAACTCTTTGTTTTTTATCAGCAAAGTCTACATAATGCATGGATATCAACCTCAAACTTACGAGAATCGGTTAGAGCCAAAAGAATTGAGTTACAACTGCTGAGGCAAAACTTGAAGCTGCTGTCTGTCCTCAAGGGGCAAGTAAGATTCATTCTGCATTCTATTCATGTTTTTTCATGACTGAAAATTTCTAGGCTTTAACTTCATTTTTAGGACATTATTGTTGTCTGTTTGTATTTAGTCAATTTGTTTTGGTCTTTTTGGAGCTCATTGATGACAATTTTCTCTTGCCTAAATCTTCTGTTAGTTTCCCAAAGTCTCTGTTAAATTGCGTTATTAAATGGGATAACACTATGTCTGTTACCATGCCGTTCTCTTTTATCTTCTGTTTTTTACCCAAAAAAATGCTCCTGTAATTCCTTGTTTTGATTTTTAGGATCACAATGTCTGTTTCTTATTGCTTGATCATTCTTGTGCCATTTCTGGAGTTTGTTATTGGCTTAAACTTTAGGCTTTGATCTGATTTGCTTATGGTGTTGCTTAAACATAAGATAGAGTTAGAACATTCATTTTTTATGGTATCAACTGAGGTATTTTAATAGCTGATTCCTTCTTGTTATTCCTGTAGACATTGCCATGCATGTGTGCCTATTTATGGAGCTATTTGATAACTCTGACTTATGTTACTATCACTTGTTGAATGCAGATGGTTTATTTAGAAGAATGGGCTCTTCTGGATGGCAATTTTTCTAGTTCTTTGTTAGGAGCTACTGAAGCTTTGAGGGCTAGCACACTTCGCCTTCCAGTTGTTGGTGGGGCAAGGGTATGTTTTTTCTTTTAGCTTCTCTTTTTTTCTGGAATATGGCATCTTGTTTCCCAGCCATCAACACATTTTAAACTCAGTAATTTCTCTCTTGGTCCTTGACTTGTACAGACTGACATCAGAAAGTTGAATGATGCAATTTGTTCAGCAATTCATGTGATGCAGACAATGGCATCCTCAGTTTGCTCTTTGATGTCGAAGGTGATTCCCTTTTCTCTCTTTTCTCTCTTTCCTTCGGCCCTTCCCCCTCTTCTCAACTGACATGCACACAAACAAGAAAACAAGAGAAAAGACAACCATCTATCATAGAATCATGTCATTGTACAATTTCATTTGTAAATGTTCTTGCACTCTTTTCCCCTCTTCTTTGGAGAAAAATAACCTCTGCTTTTATCCTCTTCACTCTGTCCCACTCTTTGCATCTTTTCCCATAAAGGAACTCATATTGATTGCATGTAAAGGTTGCTGAGTGACTTTAGAGACAATGACTTCTTCAAGTCATCTTGCATCCATATAGCCTGTTAAAAGTAATGGGTAGCCTCAAAACAAAATTTAACTAGTATGTGGTAGCACCCAAGCACCTAATGATTAAAATTATTTCCTTTACTGATAATAGGTTGGGGAAGTAAACTCTTTGTTGGTTGAACTGGAAAATATAAGTGCAAATGAGCGTGCTTTGCTTGATCAGTGCAAGGATCTCTTGTCGTCAATTGCAGCTATGCAGGTAATTGTCAGTTTTTGTTTCATTGGGAGAGATGAAAGTATCATAGGAAGTAAGATATTTGGTTTGTATGATATTTTGTCCGGAGTTATTTTATCCTTAACCCTTTAATATTCCCATACTGTCCTCTCCCTCATACTTAGGTCTAATTCATCCTTAATGGTTTTTGTTGTTTTGACCAGGTGACTGAATGTAGCCTGAGAACACATATTTTACAACTACAACGTTTACCTTGAGCCTGACAACACAAATGTAAAACTCATATCACACAATCACCTTCGTCTAATACTAACATGAGTACATAACATCAATGCCCCCTTTTTGTTTCTCCTTTCCTCATATTATGATGCTGGAGTTAATAAGAAAGTGTTGATTGATTGGTAGGATACTACAAGTACAAGAGTTGTCATCTGGTCTTTCTTATACTAGGAATTTAGCTGTATGATGTGTGAGTAGCATGCAATGCATAGATGGCAGGAATTTATTCTAAATCTGAGATTAGATAGTATATAGGTAACTTTTTATATATGCCGGGGGGGAAGATTGTGTAAATATGTGTAATGATATGATCAATTCTTCTTAATCAATGTTTCACAATAAGTCTTGTTTTGTCATCTATTTGAGAAACGATTCAATATTTTTACATTAAATGCACACTGAAACCATTGCAAGGCTGTCTCCGTCGTCTTCGGTCTGCCCTGAAAGAAAAAGGGTTAGTTGCAGAGAAGATTAGCGAGGACATGTTCAAGAAGGACCAAAGGGGGTCAATACCTCTTTTATTTGTCTTTCCAAACATCCTAATTTTCCCTACAGCCTACGAGACTAACTCCCTGTCTGCGAGTAATAAATTTTCGGAATAATTAACCGCGGTAAACTTCTTGGCCGGTGGGGAAAACCGTTCCTTACCTCTTTCTTTTTTTTTTTAAACCTTATTTCGATCCTTTTGCTTTAACAAAAAAAATTTTAATATTTTATTTAAGAAAATCTCTTTTTAATCCTTAAAGTTTATTATTTGTTATATTTTTAATCTTTTTGTTATTTTTTTGCACAAGTAGCATGTTAAATAATGAAAATTTTAAAGTATAAAAGTAAAATTGGGTTTTTTTGTTTTTTGTAATTCTTTTACTTTGAAATTTTTGTCATCTAATATGTTATGTATGTAAAAAATAATGAAAGAAATAAAAAGAGACTAAATAATGAATTTTAAAAATTTTAAAAAGATTTTTTGTTAAAGTAAAATGACCAAACTAAAATTTTAACTTCTTTTTTTTTTTTTTGATAATGTGCAATAGTATCTTTTGCAATGAACAAAAGAACATGTTATGTACCTAAGTCTTTCAATAATTATAAATCAAGTTATAAAATACATCACAATTCAAGAGTTATGTTCAACTCCCCGCTCTCAAATGTAAACTCATTAAAATAAAAAAAGTATGTTACATATTGGATCCACGTGAGTAGGTCAACCACTTTAGAATTCCTTTGCCTCTGTTTGCATGTTTTCATTGGTTTGTAAATGCTTTTTATTTTGTCGTGGGTTACGTAATAAAAATGAGCCATTTTTCATTCCTTTAACCGTAGGATTGGATGTTCAAATGCATGATAAAGGTTCCATTTCCTCTACCCATAGGATTGGATGTTCCATTGCCTTTTATTTTATTACGTTTTTGGGACAGTTTAAGAAGTTAAAATAAGGAAGAAACTTGGTATAAACTTCAACGGGCTGGTAGTGTAGCGTCGACATATCAGTTTATGTTTTCACTTCTTATAAGAGAATTTTTAAATTTAAAAGATCTTATATATATATATTTATTGTTGGAATATCTTTGAATAAACTTTCATATATCTTAAAATTAATTCTTCTTTCAAACAATTTTAAAGATATTTTACTTTAATATAATGTATTAAGTAAATTAATTACCTTAAACGCTCACTATAAAGTTAATAAATTACATATAAGCGAGTTTGCTAATGCACTTACTTTGCCAAACATGCCTATATGTAAATTGCTCCTTGTCTATGGTACATTTGGTTTGGTTTGAGGGAAAAATAATAATTAAAATTTTTTTATTTAATTAACAAAAAATTTTAGAGGTGAGAAGAGTACTTTATATTTTTTTAAATAATGTAAAGAGAGAAAAAGAAAATGAAAAAAAAAAATATTGTATCTTTCTATTCCCTTACCCCTCCTAATTCTCTTGAATTCTCCCAAACCAAATACACTACAAAACTTTTAATGGGGGTAGGAAATGAGTTTTCGGCAATTGCATTTTCTTTAAAAAAAAAAAAAAAAACTGTGATGCCGTGGAACCCACTTCCAGTGGAGGAGGACTGGGCCGGGCTGCAGGCTGACGTGCAGCGCACCATTATTTTCCTTTAGTTTGCAAAATCTTGCATCATGGGACCCTCGAAACCCTCCTTCGGTCCGCCCCCTCT